CATTGGACGATGGCGCAAACCTTGCGACGCTTGAAGCGCTTCTCGTCCTGGTCCGGGGCCACCGGGCCGTTCGATGGGATTGATCAGATCCGTTCGAGGCGAGGGGAGCTGCGTTCGATTTAAAAAGAAAAACATCACACCAGTTCAAGACGGCGTCACTGACTTCACCTCATCTCCCACGTGCCGCAAACGCTTCTCAGGTCGAGTCTTCGGCTTTCTTCCTTCTCTCTGCAAGCAACACCACTGTTGTGTCGTGCCATTTTACTCCTGCTGATCTCTATACTGTATGGCATGAAAGCTGTTGCCCCATCTGGCATTGCGGCATTCTTGTAAGCACCAGCTTCGAGCAACAACCAAGTGGCCACTCTGAGCCGCAACAAACAAAGCTGTGGCCCCTTCTGACATCAAGTGGCCCTCTTGTCAGTGTCAGCTCCACTCATTTGCCCTTGCGGCATGCTTGGCAGCTCCAGCTTCAACCAACAGTCGCACCACTTTGAAGCGGCCATTCTGCACCGCAGCATACACAAAGCCGTTGGGCGATTCCTGCCAGCCTCAAGCAGCATCTACACCACTTCCACATGGCCGTGATTTGCTGCACAACACACGGGTTGAAGGTCTAGGATCCAGAGGCTTTTGAAGCAAAAATTGCACTTCGCCAACCCTATTTTGGCCACACGCGCATAGTTTCCTGAGCCTCATTAGATCTTCATTGGGCAAACAAAAGTCCAGGACTACCACCTGAACGCATCCCCATTTTCTTACCAGCATATCATCATGTAACTCGCCCAGGTCTTCACTCAAGAGTCTTTGTCGAGGTCTTGACGATCCAAACCGACCGCTTCCAATCCACCGATTGTCCACTCTTCCACATAGAGCTGGGTGATCCTGGCACCTGACAGTGCCTGCATCTCCATCGTTCAAAGACCTAAATCCCGTGCCCTCTCCAGGGCCTCCGTGCGTGAAAACACAACTCAACCGAAACGCAAACAAATGAATAAAAAATAAATACACTATATACAGGCGTTTACTGGCTCCCAAACCGCAGTTTCCGTGGACGCGCCACCGGGGCGCGAGCTCAGCCCTAAACGACCGACTTGAGCAGCGATCCACCTCTCCTGAAGATCGGCCATCGTCAACCTCACCGGTTTTTCATCTTCTCCTGCGAAGGAAAATGAGAAAATGAAGGAACAGCCATCGAAACCAGCCTGACCATTGACAGCCATCGAAACTGCAGCTTATTCCCCCCCCAGATTCCAAGTGGGAGGTAGGAGCACAACTCCCACAGATTCTTCTGTTACCAGGTCCTATCACCGGGGCACCCAGCGCCCTCTTCGCGCCCACCACGTGCTCACTACGCCCTCCACCCCGCCTGGCACGATCTCCAAGGCATACTTCTTGGGATCGACCAAGTCACCTCGAGCCGCGCGCGCCCATGGAGTCGGACGAGGACTCCGGCGGCACGGTGTGGGGTGGTGTGGCTTCAAGAATGACATCCGCTGAGACTTCCAGGCTTCAAGGATCTTCCATGTGCACTTGAGACTTGAACATGTTTTTTAATGGTATTTTTCACACTTTGAGCCAGCGAGCCGGAAACCAGGCGGAGCTCCCTAAGCTGCATTTATATAGACTCCTCCCGCCTGTGGGCACTGGGAGGTGATTTCGCACAAAGAACTTGGGGTTGGGCGTCAAGTACTCCTGCTTCTCCAACTGCGACCTCAAAAAAACATTAAAAAAGATAGCTCGCCACGGCCCGCCGCTGCCCGGGGAGTTACCGTGATGCTGCATACAAGCAAGGCATACAATACAGGCAGTTAAGCCTCTCTTGTTCAGCTTGATCGATCTTAGTTGAGATAGATCTGCACCTGCTTCACCCTTTTCCCGACCTGCACTATTTCATTTTAAAAAACATCCATCCAAAAACCATGGCCACCACTTGCCCAGGCGCAGGGGGCACTCGGCATTGAAGGGCTTGGCGGCCTGAATCACCAGCGCCGGGTCACGCTTGGGGTCGGTTTGGTAGGGATCGAAGGGCGGCGGCAGGTTCTTGTACTCGTCCTCACCTGACACCAGGAGATGAAGGACATCTTGAAGGACTGAGATACTCATGGGACCACAAGAGGGTCTTAAACTACCAATGCAACTTGAAGTTCTCGGTGTCAGGCGAAGTGGGATTCCAGTGCTTAAATGATCTTTAATGCGGCTACTCCTTCCGCACTCAGGGTTGCCTGCAACTGTCAGTCGGCTCTGGAGGCAAATGCACATCAATCACATACCACATGCTGGTCTTCAAAGACACGTTGAGCTATTTCTGCTGTACTTTAATCTGGTCCAAAGAGAAAATTATGGTGTACAGAAACTGACCCTAAGGATTCACTTGTTGCTAGAAGTTGCAAGACTCAACTGAGATGGCTAGATAAATGGGGGGCTTGAGAATGACTCTGAGCTTACTTCCTCCACACCAAGAACATGTCAAAGATCATCAAGAGTGTTTTGCCCCATTCAGGGTTTCCTTGGCTCAAAACTTCAAGAGCCATGACCAATTTCAAGCCCCTTGAACACAGAAAGACACACATGACTTGGATGGCAAGAGTCAGTTCGGACCCTTTGCCCCTTGTACTTGCTCAAGGTGAAGGCGCACGCGGAATGAGTCAAACTCTGGTGGTTCAGGGCGTCTTCACACACATGGGAACTCATTTCAGCTGAGGAGTTGGATGTCAGAGCCATGTCCTCTACGTGAGCTGACCATCGGTCGACACGGAAGTCAGCTCCATCCGACCTGGCACGCTGAAGAACCAAGGCACTAAGATGTCCAATGCGATGCTCTCCCAGGATCTCCTTCACACTGGCCACGTTGTGCTGAGCATACATCGCCCAAAAGGGATCGATTTGCCCACCAGCGGCCTTCAAGATCCTCAGCATGTGGCTGAGGACGGTAGAACGGGCAAAATCGAGTTTCAAGTGGATGTCAAAAATTATTCATGTTTCAAGTGGATGTGTTTTCCAGCAAAGGACTGAAGGACCTGAAAATTCTCATATATGTATAACTGTATAACAATATCTGTATATCTATACACATAATGATTCTATTAGGTACTATATATTTATAAACATAATTAACATACATGTCCATATACTATACATACCATCTACCTCTCAAAACATCTCACAGGTCTCTAAACGCGGCCCACGACCAAGTCGACCGCTCGGCCCTCGGCTCCCCTTTGAAGGCTCGGCTCCGCTCCAAACCGCCCGGGTGGTTCTGAACGAACTTGGTGATGTCATAGACGCCATCCCGGTAGGTGACCCAAATGCCCTTCTCAATGCAATTATGCCTCGGAGAGACTGAGAAACTGAGAGAGAGAGAGACAGAGAGAGAGTCTCTGCGTGTGACGTGGAGTTTTTTTTCACACCTAATTAGCTTGAATCTGTTCTTTGATGTTCTTTACTTGCAGCGGGCTGGGAGATGGTGGGAGCTTAAAGGGATCCTCCATCAAATCGGACGTGATTGAGCGAGCGGTGGTACACACCCCTCAGCAACGCGCATTGGATTGACGACCCTCCAACCGAGAACAACACAAAGGGACTCCAACCGAGAAGCCTAAAATATCCTAAACATCGGAAACCTCTTGCTGTGTGTTAGCTACTGAGGGTCCAAAACTCAGCCAACTGGGCTTTCGGGCTGTTTCACGTCAGCGAACTTGATCACCGGCTCGCCCTCTTTGAAGCCTGCCGTGACGGTGCAAGCATGTTGTCTTAGATCTTCAATTGTCATCATTTGTCAATTAGAAGTGGCACACTGGCTGCCCATGGCAGCTAGAATAACGATGTTTCTCCAGTCATTCCGGCCAAAATGGCAGCCATTCTCATCAAGCCAAGAACGCAGCCATCCAGTTGTTGAGCTGGAAAAGGGCAAACGGAACTCGAAAATCTCGAAATCCAGCCGCAAATTTGGACAACGCTGCCACAACTGGCGGCTCACGGCCGGCATCTGCAGGCCTGGCGCCAGCTGCTTTTTCTCCTCCTTCTTCTCCTCCTGGCACATCACCCCTCCCGTGTCTTGAGTTGAAAAACTGGTCCGCAAACACACGGGAGGAAGATCCCCGCTAGGAAGATGGCTGGTTGGAATTCGTTATCCGCATACAAGTTAGCCAAGTAAAGAAGGCCCTGCATAGATATAGGCATGTAGGCTAGCGGCTACCTTGACCGCTGATATCAAGAACAATGATACAACTACATTAAGGAAGCCTGAATGAAAAGAAGCTGGTCAACGCTATTTCAGTCATGTTCGGTCATTTCAGTGGACACAGGGTAGTCCTCCAGACAGAAAATTTCATAAGATGTCAATCACCCATCCAATACGGTCCAGTTGCTTGTAACTTTAACAACTGCCACCTTGATCTGGATCTTCTTCTTTTCTTTGCCTCACAATTGGCGGATGGCCCAAATCCAGCGAAGCAAGAGATTCAAATGGTAGCGAACAGATAGTAGAAAGGTTGGACTTGCAAGACCATTCTTCAGTGCAGGACCCGTGACATCATCGAACAACAACATTTACTGAAAGTTCCTGATGTAGCCTGATGTGATCGTTTAATATCATTTAACTACCACAATTCTCCAGAACGTCCGCCAGGTGGCAGGCTGCCACACTGCTTCCCAGCACAATGCCCGCGGCAGCCAACACGTTCAGCTGGCTCCAAGGCTCGTGAACGACGCGCACGCGGGGCACCACCCGAGCGGCGCTGCGCAGCGCGCGCGCCAGGCGGAAGGCCATGGTGTTCGACCCGCTTCGACGAGCGTGAACCGGGGGGAGGACCGGACCCTTGGGCGGAAAAAGGCGAAAGAATCGATGGATGAAACGTCGAATTGTTTTTTTTTGGTGTTTTTTGTTTGTTTCGAAGTCTGTCCGTTGAATGCGATGTGCTCATGTGCTTGGTCACCAGCCCAATAAAGGCAACTAGGCACACACTGACGGGAGGTGCAACACACGCAAGGCCACAGTCCTGCGGCTGAGGGCTACCAGGGAGCGAGCATACCATGGCATGCATTGCGCCAGGACAGGCCGGTGATGTGGTCACTTCATTTGACCATCGTTTGACCATTGTTCCAGCCCCTTCTTTGCTCTTCGTGAGGAGGTGTGCTAGTCTACTCTAGTTCTAAAGCTCTGAGTTCAACCCCTCCTTCAGCAAAATCACTGGAATCACCACAGATGCAAAAAAACATTGGAAAATGCCGTTCTCAGCTGCAATTCTGAGAACGAGGACAACGGCTGCAGTTAAGCAAAGCATTCGGAAACCAACGAATCAACGAAAAACAAGCATGAGCCCCTCCTACCGTCCAGGGGTCGCCTTGGTTGAATCGCTCACCCATTCCCATCAGTATGCACCACTTGGATCAACTTGGCTTCTTTCGGTGCCATTCCGTGCCGGCAGCATCCGGGGTGATACTAAGCATACTAAGCTCAGCAGAGTCGAGACTAGGCATCCTCCATGTCCATTCCAAGCATGCCGTCCCTTCTGGTTTGAAGAGCTACACGCACCTCCGACAAACTGCTATCAGGTAGCCCTCGTCGAAGTTTTGCACAAAGAAATAAAGTAAGTTCCCAGGTTATGTTGCTCTGGCACTGAGTGGACCTCCAAAATCCTACTCTGTAACAAGAGGTTTCAACATGTCCCACATGGAGAATCAGTCACGGCTCAGCATGGCTGAGCATGGCCTCTTGCCGAGATGCCTCTCCTACGGTGGAGTCTAGGATTGGGGTCATCAAGTGGTGAAATATATTCTACGAACTTCGTACCTCCAACATCTTTTCCAGCCCCTCCACGAAAAAGGCATCACCTAGCAGGCCGGGCCGAGCGGCAGCTATGTAAGAGCGAAGACACAGTCCAATCATCGAACCAGGCGATGAGCTGTCAATCTGCCTGCGGTGCTACCACCGGGTCACTCCAGGGGTGCTCCAAAGCACAAACTCTCCAGGGGAAAGGCGTGAGAGGAGTCAGCCATCCGCAGTCAGCCCCAGAAGTAGAGGAGTTCAAGATCACTTTTGGTTGGCCATGGTTGTGAGATGGACCAAGTGACCTTTGGTTGATTGTCGCTTCATGTGCTCAACGATTTGCAAGATTTGGCTTCAGTCATCCCAACACCTGTCCATGTGCTCAAGTGGAGTTCTGCACATCCCCTTTTCTAGTGGTTCATGTGTTGTAGAGCTTCTTTTATACCTCTAAGGCAAATCGCAGTAATGCTTTCATCGATTCAACTACTCACCTGCATCAATGTGTAACAAACAAATGTCAATATTGGTATCGCTGATATGTGTTACAGCGTGTCCGTGCTCTTCCCCCATCACAAGCCTTGCTTTTGGGGCACTGCCACCTCCACACCTACTCTCGCAGAATCTTCTTTTGCCAAGCACTTGTAGGGTGACAGCAGTGATCGCAAATGTTGAGACAAAGGGTGGACCCGTTCAGCATCCAGTGAGCCATTCTCACATCGACATCCACGCATCAGAGTTTCATCCTCCAAGTGGTGCTCGCTAAGCGACGACAATCTCTCTGCGTGGATGTGCAAGTTTGAATGCCTTCAGGGCTTTGAAACAATTTGCACCATTTGCAGTATTCCTTCTCTTCTGACTCTTCAATCTTCTCTCTTAAACCCATTTCATACAACTTTGCAATCACTCTCTTCCAATCTCCGCCCTTCTTATAGCCCTCCCATGCTTTGGAGGTGAAGCACTGCAAGCGGTCAATTTGGACACCGTTGTGCCCTTTGATCTTTGCTGCTGAGTTCACCACCTCGACACAGGCCCCGCGGTCCTCAGCAAACTTGAGAATCTCGGCACTGGTCGTCAACTCGGCTTGAGCGAAGGCTTGAAATGTAAGCCAGTCGTCTTGAACAAGTGGCTTACCCAACTCAACATCGATAAGGAAAGTTGACTTGACGGCCTCATACTTTTGAAACTCCTCGATGTCAAAAGGGATCATAATCTTCACTTGCTTGTCTCTCTGCATCTCTTCCAGGAGTATTTCGGCATCCTGAAGGGAGATGCGTTGCTCATCGGTCAATTCCAGCAAATCTGCTTGCTTCCGCAAAGCTGCTCGCAAGTCTGATTGTTCCAATCTTGAGTTGAGTCCGGACTCCTTGCACCACCACACGCCGAAGCCCACAAGCTCATCCAATGTGAGATACCTCTTTCCAGAATGCCCACGGACAAACGCTGGCGTGAGCAAATGCTGTCCCCATGTCTGGGACCGCAGGCCCACGCTGGCAGGTCGTAGAAGTCCACACCGCCACATGGCATGACACACTGATCTTGGGTTGGCTTCAGGTGCTTGAACTAGAATGAGCAAGCAGAACTGGCACTAGCGGGTGCCATCAGGTGCCATTTGATAGGTTGATATGAAATTGGTCAATGACAGGAACCCGTGGTTCCCAATCTACCCAAACTGGCTATATACTTCAACTGCTGGACAGCAAGTCTGTCAAGGTGCAGCTGCTTGCAGGCAGCGGCCTCAAGCACCCTACCCTGGTAATAAAGCTTCTGCCCTGAGAGGAGCATAGAACCCGCTAAAGTGCTCCCGACCAATCAAGGGTGGAACAAGTGGGGCATTGGAAGGGGAGTAGTTCGTGTCCTAGCATGAAAGCCAAGGAGGGCCATCCAATCATATCCAATCCATGTCCAATATCCCTGTCCAATCCGACCATGATCCACAATCTCAATCAAATTCCAACATAATTCAATAGATTTGATAACTGGCTATGATCTTGTTTACCCACTTTATTAGCAGTATTTTATACAGCTTCCATCCCATTATATAATTCAATACCTAGCCCGGCCCGCGCGTGCGCATCCATGTTCCGGCCTTGTGGCGCGCCCAACTGAAAGTGCTCCACCCTGCTGAGGTCAATGCTACCAGACACAGGATCGCCAGGGCCCAGCTGGTGCGTTCCTCACGGAGCTCTTTTGCAGTAGAGAGACGAGCAGGTGGCGCTGGTCGGATTAAGAGGACGGAAGATCTACGCGGACGTCGTCCAAAGTGCTTCAAGGAGATTGGACTCGGTGTTTGTGCTCAAGGTTCTACAGCTCATAGGCCTATATTCTGCTTGTGGGTCACCAACAGGGAGAAACGACTGGGCTGGCATGCAAAACCTGCCACTCGGAGTCAGAAGCATGCATGATTCGGTTACAGTATGTTGGCTGGTTCAGTCTTTCGTCACACCGGCGACTGGGCCCTACAGCCCCTACCGGCCCAACTGTTCTGCTTCAACACCCATTCAAAAACTCAAAAGAATGACCATGTGAGTTGAGGGTGCCCATCTTCCAAACCATCGGATGTACAGAATCAACATGTCAAATTCTGCAGGGTCAAACCCAAAAAGTGAACAAGTCAACAAAATTCGAACAATCACATTTGAGATGTTGACCTTCTAGGAACCCTAGAGATGCCAGTAACATCGGCAACAAAATCTTCTTCCAAGGGATGATGCTACTGTAGCGTGGCAATCAAATAATTCATCGCTCGCTCTCATATCCAACGCGGGCCATCGTGTCAAGGTGCCATTGCACGCTCCCGGCGTTCCACTAAGCGTTCAAGCTCATCCAGCAAGGCCATATTCCGTGGGAGCCTTGTCAAAAAGAGCCACCATGAGATCACACAGAAATATACCGACCCCTTGGTGGCAGGTCAGAAAAGAGTGTGAACAGTGGGGGGTCCTGATCTCTTCCTCATCTTGGGTTTTTCAGGGTGTAGGTCATAGCAGGTCATATGCAGGTCGCTACTTGATGCCACATTGGCTTTCTGGCCCCGCACGCGCCACCGAGCCCGCCACCACCGAGCCCGTCCAAGTGGCCCAAAAGAAATCATCAAGAATCAGGGGAAGTGAGACCATGACAGCACACACTATCACAGTATCGATTGATGTATGTGGCTTTGAGCTACCGGAAGCACTTTACACCAGGTGCACTCTTGGAAGGCACGTGATAGCTGGGGCAGAGGAAGACATCGAAGCCACCTACATCCCTAGGGCAAGGCAAACGAATCAACGAGAAGAAACTCATCCGATCTCTGCTGCGAAGCATCTCTCGATGCGGAACTCGCGCAGGCGGTGGAGCCGTTTGCTCCTCCGAAGGCGGTGGATGCAGTGGGAGCAGTGCTCGCAGTGCTGGTGGAACGGCAGTGCTGGTGCCACGATTCCAAGCCAGTGGGCTTGGCCAACACACTAAAACCATGGCGTTGCAAGCCAATGCGTTCCACTACACCAGGTCATTAAAATGTGCGGTCAAAACTGGCATGGATCTTCCCTCAACACTGACACGTTTGCCACAAAGACGGTGCCGAAACGGTCCAATTGACCCTCTCCTGGAGGACCTGGAGTTCCGGGGCCTGCAAGAATCAAGAGATGTTCACCCATAAAAAGGCACTGTTCCGTAGCTGAAGATCTTAGGAATGGATGTCATTGAAACAGTTGACATGACAACAACAAACTTTGGAGATGTACCGGGTGCTACCATTACGGTGCACAGAAAAGAAAAGAATAGTTAGTTTGAGATCATGCAAGTGGAGCATAGCACCCTGGAAATGATATCAAAGACTGAACTTGTTCCATTGTCCAAGGATAAGGACGCCCCTAACTTCTCCACCGTGGATGGCCTTGTGGGTCCATGAGTCAATGGTTCACAAAAAGGGCCGGTCAATCTTCTACCATGGCCCACAGCGTGGTACCTCACCAACAGCCAAAAGAATGTCTTGCAGTCATTGGACGGACAACTTGCCTCACGTCGTTGCATGAAAGTTGGAGCTGCAGCAGCTAACAGCAGCAGCTGGCAAAGCCAAAATACCCTCGCCATCGGAACTTTGTCGTGGGACCCGGGTAGCAAAGTCACTGGATGTTGCGCTCTCTCACCTCACTCCGAGACCTTCTTGGCAGACCAAAGACTTTGTCAAAGGCTTCGTCAAGCGGTCAGGGGAAAACTTGACCAACGACATTTGAGACTGCAATTGAGGAATGAATGCTTCTAGCTCCTAGAATTGCACAGGGATCG